CGGTAACGGCGTCTAAGAGCTTCGTTAGTTTTTGGTATAAATTGAGACAAAAAAGAAAAAAAAAAACACTAATAAAAATCAGGTATCGACGATGATGCGAAGGCGACGGCGTGCGAAGGCTCTAATCAAAATAGACGGAGGTGATTGCGACGTGTGTCGTCTTAATTCGGCCCGAAAGTGTAACGAGACTAGAATCGGTTGGGGCGAACGGTGAACGTGTTAAAGAGGTATCTACAAACGATAACACCCACGTGGCCTCAGGTGATTTATCACCGAGCCTATATACAGAGGAGCGGGAGAGGAAAGTACCTCAGTCCAATTCCTTGTACATTTTAAAGCATTGTTTTATAGCTTCGAAAGTAGAAATCCGTTTGGTATGTTGCACGAAATACAGTACCCACAGTTTACATATGCGCGGCTACGCGTTGCATCCTTAACGTTACTTGATAATATTAATGGACCTTTATCATTTTTTCTTTTGTTCCTATTAAACTTGATCAAAGAAAGAATATTTACAATAATAATTATAATATAAAATACGAAAAAAGAAACAATTGGAATACTCTCGAATGATTCAAACTTGAACGATACGCCTCAATCGAACGTAAATTACGACATAATTACATAATATACATACAATTAATGAATTCCATTAAAAGAGCAGAATTAGAGTTTTTGGACCAATTGTTATGTTCTCTGATAATTGTTTAAGAAGGCAGAACTAATTTAAAAGAATTTGATACAAATAGATATCAACGTAACGATAAGAAAAAAACAGCGGAATAAAATTTCAAAGAATCTATCGGTTTATGTTAAATTGTTTGTTACTAATATTAGCATTATAAACTATTATTGTTACGCCTATGTTAGTTCCTTGACTCAGATTGTGCGAAGTTTTCGTTTGTTTATCATTATCGTTAATGTTAACATTAGACCAATAATCATTATTGACACAGCTACTTCAACGAATATTAAATGATACCACAACGCTATGTATCTAAGGTTTGATTCCGACATACAATAGATTGGTTATTCATTAGTATACAAATTTAACCTTATAGACACCAATTAGACACAGTTAAAAGTTATTATTAGATTACACGTAATTCAATCGTACCATAGCCAACAGGGAGGCGCTAAATTCACTCTTGAATTTGTGGTCTAAACAGAGATACATATTAAGTCCTACCATTAAAGACTTAACGATTAAAATAACAATGCCAATACGTACATATAATACACGAATATAATTACGTTCAAAAACATCTTTTTCCTTTTTTTTTTCCACATCTCAAACAACATAACGAGAATATTTTTAACTTTTCAGTTCTGTGAATGAATCACTAACATTAACGTTTTTTTTTTTCACAATCAAATCATCATAAGACTTACGAATAGACATTTTTAAATTTTACATTTGACGATTATAGCGTACCAGCTGCTGTCTTTGTCGGAAAGTGTCAATCTACTTGGGAAGCAAGCGGTATAGAAAGCACAGATTTTCTTGCGAAGACACCCTGAGACCTCTAACTTTCGTCTTCGTTAAATCCTGAAGCCATCATACGCTAAGAACGCTGATCTTGACGGACAAGAGAAAAGTTAGAGACGACAGTGTAGAATGAAGCGGAAATACTTTTTTCGGTTATTCCATTGAAGTTTCCCTAGTACTGCTTACACAACATATCGCTTCATACAATATACCTTAAAATACATATGTACCCTACAATAATAATTACGTCTTCTATGATATTTACTTTCTTTGAGACGTTTATGATTACCCTCTAATTTTTGTCACAGTATCGCTTTATTTTGACTTTCATTATTATTAACAATTTTTTTTTCTCTCTATACCTATTTACATTTAAAAATCAACTCGACAAGTTTCCACGTGATTTACAAGAAGGCTACGAAAGGACAAAGCTTACGATACCAAGCACAAACGAGCAATGGCTCCGAGGAAGGCGTACAACAACGAGTTTTTTTTTTTAAATCTTTCTCAAAGGGAACTTTGTACAATCTAAACGTTTAACAGAAAAAATATCGAAACCCTGATAATTCCAAACGTCGTTCATGAACAAGAAGCGCTAAATTACACACGTTAAATTCGATGTTGTTCTAAAAGTACCTCACGGGGAGCTCATCGCCGCCCCTAGACGCCAAACGTTCGCGTCCGAAAGTAACCGACCACGCGAAACGCAAACGTCGGATTCCGCTGAAGGCGTCGGAACTGCGCCACACACTATTACCAGTAAAAGACGTACATACTACAATATTTGAGCGATCGTGTTACTATAATTATATTGCTTTTACTCGATGAATCGGTTGAAAGACGGCCGAATATCACGCTGGACGATAGGATCTATCGAACGAAAGCGGTTGAAGTGATTAAGAAGTCGAAAGCGAAATGTGAAATGATCTTTTATTGTCGAAATTCGGAAACGCAAGGGCGCTGACTGGATGGGGGCCGCAAAGGGATCGCTCCATTTGAAGCCAACAAAGAGAACTTCGCGGAATCAGCTCTGAGTAATTTTGCTGGAGCAGCAACTTGCGATACCATCTGTCGATAGGCGTTGAGCGTGAGACGTCCAAATGAGGATGGTGGGTGCGATTATTTGGCTTGAGCGACGGAGATAAGGGGGGTAATGGCGTGTGCTGTTAGGCCCGAGAGGGGTATGTTCGAGGCTTCGGTGGAGCGATTACCTTTGCAGCGAACAAAGGCGCTGTCGTTAATCGCGGTGCGCATGTTAAGCCACAAAAGAATCGAAATCGATTGACATCCGGAAATGCAAATTGCTTCCGCAGGAGCCCCAAACGTAAGAGGGCCCAGGCAGCGTCTAGACAACCACTAATCGCTTACAAAGATATCTTGAGCATCACTAAAATATACACATCATGAAGAGTTCCAAGTAATGTATTAGGCACAATTTTTTTTCGTATCTTTATAATATATATTGTATACGATTCGTAACGACCTACGACACAAATCAATATCTATTTACAGTTGCAATACATTAATATATAGATGGCGCGGTATGAGCGCGGCCCTTTTTAAAAATAATTAGATTTCCATAGACACTTACTAAGAGTTACATGAAGCATTCTTTTTTTTACATAATATATTTATAAGAATATAATAATATAAGTAAAGCATTTTTATTTCTTTTTATCGATTAGAGCACAACGGATCCCATATTATAATGAACTACCATATCAGGGACACAGTTTATATACAAATATTGAATTGTTATCTGAAACAGTATATTAGAAGGGTTCTTATTATACCTTAAAGTGACCGAGGTAACATTATTTGTTTCGAAACATTACCTCACCTACTGACACCACTTCACAGAATTGACAGAACTTTTCGCAATTTCTATACAATTTTTAGCCTTTGCTACACTGTGGAATTCGGGGCAGCGGAACACCAAAAAGATTAAGTACAATTCATAAGCGAATTCTAAATACAGAGACGGACTTTAGCGCATGAATCTTACTACCATTATATAAAAAAAGAAACGATTAAAATACGGACCGATTCGTCGAGCCTACACCCGACTTCCACAGCAAAGCAAATTATCAAAAATAGTTACAATATTGGTTTCACCCCACCACATTAAAAATTATGCCCAGTTCTAAAAATTAAACAAAAAGAGTCCAAGAGGCTAGCGTTGCTAAAACTAATCTATGCGATATCAGTCTCCACTAGAACCTTACAATTTAGAAATCGATAAAGTAAATCACAGAGTTTGTAATAGCAAAACATTTTGAGTTGAAAATAGAACTAGTGTTTTGTTCGTACCGTGCATTTCACCACCGTCCCGCGATACATGAGCTCACCGTTTTGATATGTATCATCCTAAAGACGTTCGAGTTGAATTAAGTTTGAAAGAAATTCATTTGAAAGTTAACAGTGTCCCTTCCCATGCTTGGATGCCGTCGTTGGAAACAATTTGAGAATTTCACACCTTATTATCGACCGAAGATTATAGACCTTATCTTAAACGACCTAACGTATAAAATAGCGCGACGTACCAAATCGAAACATCTACGAGAATCTACTTCTGCTATGTAACTATCGTAGGAGAGATAAACGCGTGCAAACGGTAAATTATCAAAGGCATAAGGAGACAGAGTAGCGCAGTTGCACGCGTAGGTCTCTCCAGAAGTAGCAGCGAAGGAGTGACTCGCATCGACATGCCTACATGAAATTCCCTCACTCCTTTCCGAAATTCTCTCACTGACAACACATACCGATTAGCTTCCGAAAGTGAAATAATAAATGTCGTACTACCTACTATGTGTGCATCAAAATATAAAGTGAACTTACGTACAGTTAATAGAACGCAAGGCAAACTTGACTGTCATAACCTAGTCTTATTCTCCTATTACACGAATGTTAAATGTTTCAACTATGAAAATCTGAACGTAAAACGTGAACGTTCTTAGAGTTAAGAAAATAAAATTACGGGGCGACGCGGGAGTTGCGGACTATAGAAGCCAAGTCGAGTTATGTAAACGCATACACGCGCAGAATACGGTACGAGCGTCGCGTCGAGGCCCGACTTCGACCGTGGCTTGCTACCAACCAGGCGACGGAGACTAAGAGACGGATTATTTACTTGAGATGCGTCAGAGACGTGCCGTTTGAAAATCACACCGATAGTGTGTGTCGAACGTTAATTCAACGAAAGCGAACCCTGTCGAAATGATCAAACTCACAGCCTATTCGAAGAGAACAAAGGGTAGAACTGTAAACGCAACGTTCCGAAAACACCAGTCGGGGAGCAAGGGAACCAAGGAAACGTAACCGAACTGCCCCGCCCCCGAGTCTTATCAAATAACTTTGTACATTGGATCCGAAAGTCGACACGTCACTTTGGATGTAGGCACTCTCTAGGCGGGCGGCGAGCGGTCGCCGCGGCGTCGGCCCCCGTGCGGCGGCTCTATGAGATCAGTGGAACTGGCCAGCGGCCGTGGCGACCCTAGCGCCGCCGGGATTACGTCAGGTACGAGGAGAACGTGTGGTTGTCCAGTCCCGTCGCCCAGTCGTTGCCGACGCCGATCTCGCTGAGCATGTCCGACACGTCCGGCGTGCACGAGAACTCGAAGTGGGAGCCGGAGGACGATGACGCCGTCTCGAAGGACTCCATGTCGGTCGTGAGCGCGTCCAGATCGACCTCGCAGTCAGCGGGCAGCGGCAGCAGGTCCGTGATCGAGTAGAGGTCGGTCAGGTCGGCCTGGTCGCGGCGCGTGCTGTCGTCGTAGAAGCACGCGGACTCCGGGGAGTCGGGCGAGCCGGCGGGGGAGGCCGGCAGGGGCGGCGGAGCTGGGGTCTCTACGGGCACGCTGGGCGCACTGGGGGCGTTCAGCGGCGGCCGCGCCCTCCGCCTGGATACGCCTCTGTTGTTGTTGGAGTCAGCGCGCTGCTTGCGCCGCTGCTTCGTCACCGCGCCCGCCCTCTGCGCCGGCTTGCTGGTCTTCTTGCGGGGCCGGTATTTGTAGTCCGGGTATTCGCGCATGTGCAGCTGCCTCAGCCGCTCCGCCTCGTCTATGAACGGCTGCCTCTCCTCGTCGTTGAGCGTCTTCCAAACGCGGCCCAGGTTCTTGGATATCTCGGCGTTATGCATATCTGGCGTCTGCTCGCAAATTTTCCTACGCTCGATCTGCGACCACACCATGAATGCGTTCATAGGCCGCTTGATGTGGTTGGGGTTGTTCTTCTTCGTCTGCGGACAAAGAAATGGCCCTGGTTAGTTTGCTATTTGCGTTACTACTAGCTTATTAGCAGACTGTATGAGAATACTACACTATTATAATATATATAGTCCGTTAGCCACAACTGTAGGATGTTGTTCGGGGCCGAAAATCAGTGTTATCTGTTTAATTGTGGCGATTGTAATTATTATTTCAGGCATGTCCGATCCGCCGAGCTCGGGCCGAGAGCCGCTTGCGTCGAATTAGTATGCATGAGGTTGCACCATTAAGTCCGCGTCCTTACTATTAATGATATTTTTATCATAGGAATTATTGTTATTACAAACGAGTCTAAAACGTAATCTATAATGCGTTTTGGTAGCGGAAAATTTAAAGTTGAACTAATAATGGAGTGATTGATAAATAATTTGTTCCGTTCTCTATCAGTAAGGATAGGTGCGCGACCCAGTTTCGTTTCTATTTCAAACGATCCGACGCGATGCGCAACCGCACAGCACTCAACTTGAGTACTCTCGACTAGGCAAGCGCTTCCGTATCAAGCGTGCGCAGTAAACATTGAGGAACGAGGATATTAAAGGACGGAGGAAGTTATTATCAAATCGTGTAGGAAGTGTTGAGGACGCGTGTGCAAGGGTAAAGCGTGTTTAACGTTAGAAACATCGGCGAGGGTGTGTAACCAGAAGAGCCGTGGTACGTTCTGCCGCGGCTATATACTGAGCGGAGGCCTTTTTGGTGCATAATTCTTTTACGATTTCAGTGTTATTCTTGTTCATTTTTTTTCTGTAATATAATGCGCCGAATAAACTTTTCTTTCTTATCTTCTTCTTTACAATTTTAAGGTTTTTAATCATTCAAACTTAGCTCTTTCTTTAAAGTGCGGTAACAGTTTAAAGAGAAGACGATTACACATTACATGGCCAAGGTTCAAAATCTGCATTAAAATCACAATACAAAAGTTTAAAGTTATTTGAAACCGATCCGCTGTCCAGCCATGAACGTATCACCGAATAAGCGAACCCGTTCCTCGTATTATTCAAATCTAACTTTCGCTAAATCCGTTCCATTGCTCCCGCTGAAAAAGAGGGAGAAAGAACTCAACCGCTTGCTAGCTCACTCGCTCGCCTTAACGTTTTTTGCCGTTTGTCTTATTTATATTCAGGACAAAAAAGGGCTTGCCGGTTGGCGACTAAATCAAATTCGGTACGCCCACGCGCCGGCTCAAGGTGAACCGAATAGGGTACACTGTTTTTTACTGTGGCCATGCGTCGTCGAGCCGCCGGTGCAAAATTTAGATAAGGCTCAATTTCGATAGTGTTTTTTTATGTGAAAAGTTACCAAGCGAGCAGACGGTTCACCTGATGTTAAGTGAATACCGCCGCCCATGGTCATCTGCTGCACCCGAGGGTTCCGGATACGTTAACAACCTTTTGAAAATTGGGCCCGGCCACCTCTTTCACCAGACGAAACGCGAAAGTATTATACTTCCACTTTACGCCGGCCTTCTTTGAGGTCGTGGTATTTACCCGGATGCGCCTGCCCATTCGTGCAACAGCTGCGTGGCCCTATCATCGTGAAAAATTGAACTTCATAGTAGGTAACACATAGGCAATGGTGGCCTAATAGCAGGGGATGTCGCCTTGTGGTTCGGAGAGGCGAGTTCAGAACCTAGTGAGGTCCCCAATTCAGTTTTTATACGTAGAGAGAAAATTTCTGATAATAGAGTTTTTCACATGATCGGCGACACGGATAACCGTTATTCATCTCCGTCTATACTGCCAGATCACTGTAATTCTTAGCAGTACGTAGCTGTCTCACATATCGATATTTAAAGCTATCGCCAACACGATAGGGAATAAAAAAATCATCATCGCTTGAAAATTAACACCATGTTATAGCCGAGTGTTTACCAAAAAGCCGTAGATGTTTCCGGAGTAATCCTCTCAAAACAACGGAGCCGGCTCAGCTCAACTTGTTTAATTAGAGAATAACCAACAAGACAATCGGGGAAACTGCCCGAACTGAGGTACGCGCCGAGTAGCGTAAACATTTCTCACAAATTCGCTGATCCCCATTCGGATAGGGAGCGGAGCAGTATTAAAACCGCAAACGGCGATAAATACGTAACTGAACACAGTAAATTTAATGGAGCTGTTGTTCACGATTAAGTTCTATAGTTTTATAGACGCATTTGTCTGTTAGAATGACTTAGCTCGCGTGAGCCGAGTGGTTTTGTGGATATGAATCGGTTGACTGTGAATTGACTCAGAGTTTAGAATTTTTATTTATATAATACATTGAAATGTTGATGTGAAAATTAACAAAACAATTAATAGATACATTACGGAAATCTTAATTCAATAAATTATCGTTGTTATTCGAGAAATATGCAAGTGTAGCCGACAGTGGCGTTAGTGGCTTACAAGTTAATTAATTCTGCTACATTTCGCTAATCGAATGTTACAACGGTAAAATTCCAGACAATACACATGTTGCTAATTTATCTTAGTCTATGTAATAAGTGATAATTATACACCAAACACAGTTTAACATTTATGATATTTCATAACTTGAACACGCAACGTCTTAATTTTTGCATTGTGTTACTATATTCTAAATTCAACTCGATTGAATAAAACATTTATACGCTGGAATAAAATAATTATTTGCCGTAAACACATTTACGGCAGATATGCTAGTACATTTTAAGTCATAATTGAGTTTAAAAAGATATATGTGTACCTCAAGCTATTATGGACCTTATCCACCACCAGTTCGCAAATTAAGACCGGTCCACCTAAACCTGGAAACGGGAAGAAACTGCCATGACGATGTCCCATCCGACCTGAGAGTGAGACTGCACCACGTTTGACCATAAGGTCTATTATCGCGCGGCAGTAGTTCGCCGTGTTCAGGAAACGAAGCGGTTGCCCTTGCGCCAACTGGCACCTAACACGCGTCGCGCGACGCGACCATCATACTAAGACGTACCGGCTCCGAACAGAAGGTTGCTAGGCCATATCTAGCCGGAGCCCCGGTTTTTTACGCGCTCCATGATCCTATGCGTTCTTGTACCGCGCAGCAGACACTAAGCCAGGAAGACGCGTGATTGACTTGAACCCAAGCCCACGTAAGGGCATAGCACTCATATGTTCCGTCATAAGCCCTCGAACGGGTTTGATTTAGTTTCGCATACGAATCCAAAGGCTGCAGTAACGAGCGACTTGTGCGGATGATGAGTATTAATAGTCTGCATGTAGTACCGTTATGGACCATAATTTAAATGGTAATTCCATTTGCCCCTGTTCGATTTGCTTTAACAATTATCTCGAAATGCGTTCTCGTTAACCGGTCGCACTGAGGCCGTGACCCGCGTACTGCAACCTTTAAATTGATCGGAAACTCCGGAAGCCCGAGCGATACTTCCTCCGCTCGACTGTTTAATATATAACATAATACACCATGAAACGTAGTCCGCATTAAATCACGGAATTATCCATATTCGTACGCAGCAGACACGCCAAGGCCGGGCGGCTTGCGAATTAACAATTGAATTTACGACGTTCGGACTAAGAAACGCACGCCCGAGGTTTCCGCGTATTTAAACGACATTCGATTCCGCAGTTTTCGCTTGCCGAATGGAGGTCGCAGACGCGATAAGGCCCTCGAGAGATGATTAACGGCGGCTTCCTTCGCAGGAACCGGTTACGGGAGTGTGTGACCGCCGTTCGAAGCGCCGCGACATCGAGGGCCCACTTACGTTAATAATCGATCCGCGTTTATGTTTATGTTAATTCAATGCAAACGAAACGCGATTACGTTTCCGTGGATTTCCTTCCGGCCGGCCATCACAGTTTCAACGTACTCTTTGCCGATATCGTTTAGAATTTTTCGCAACGTCCATGGTCACAGTAAAGTCCTTCCTGTGGCCGTGTGCTGTTTGATAACGGCGCTTATATTAACATGTGTGAAATGTGTAAAATGTGCAAATGTAGAAAAAGTCACCCGACTTGATTGCCACAGGCTGTGTAAAGTAAAATAAAGTAATAGCCTTACGTATCCAACTGCTTTTCAAAGCCTTAACCTGCGACCCCACCGCGCGAACTTCACATATCTTGAAAGAAATATCTCGATTCAATTATATTATTCAATTTATATTATTTTCGTTTTCCTAGACCTTGATTTTTTGTTGTGTAATATAGGTAGAATCATCGTGAGTTTAAAAAAAATTCAAAAGCCAGCGCAAATTGTGCACTGCAGAATTCACTAAATATAAAAGATAAAATTCATTAAATCTGTGATTAAGGACAATTACGTACGTAATTTAAGTACTAGCAAAATTAAAATATAAGTTTAGTACATTGCAATGAACACATTATACATTTTATTCTACGATGTGAAAAAACTAATTTTCATTTAGAAGAAGCATTTTCATAGCACTAAATCTATGGAGAGCGCCAATATTTCACGTCAGTAAAAATAAAAGTTAATTGCTTTTATAACGACGACGTATTTGGAACCTTGGATGAGTGCAAAATACAACGATATATATTTAAATTTGTAAACTATAAATACACATTATGCTGGGAGAATTCTCTAAAATATGTATGAAAATATAATTCTATATTGAAAGTCAAACACTGCTTATTAAGGATTCTGAAATAATAAGGACGCGAATAGGAAATACAAACGTCACTTCTAAACAAAAACAACAACGGGAGAACGCGTCGGATTACGAAACAAATGAAGCAAACAAAACAGATAGACATGCAAAATCTTGTACTCTTCATCAGAGCCTTAAGCACTAAGAAGCGGGGGTTTAACGCATTACGCGATCCCCGTTAAAGGGCACGGTGGAGATATTAATGAAGATGTTAGACAATTCCCGGTCCTTTGGCCGCGAACAATGGACCCCAGGGACGCTAGGGCCCGGCCCGACGGGGCCCGGCAGATGAGGCCTTTTGTGCTCGCTCGATAATGAGCCGTAATAGAACGAAATGAAACTGCACGGATCTACGCAAGTCAAGCGAACGGAAGGGCTACATCGATCCCGCTCCAACTCGATTGACTTACATAATGGCAACGCATTAATAAGCTTCGGATTTAAGTCATCAAAAGTATACTTAAAACTCCTACCGTCACTGGTCTTTAGTGCTGTGGGCAAAAATGAGCAAGAATCAATTATAGCACAGAAAGGATTCGTGATGATTGAGGGATTCTTATTCCAGTGGCGAGCAACAATGAGTTACGCCTGAAAATATCACTGAAAGTACCACTGCAATTGTTAAATTATAAAACTCGGTATCTAACAAAATTTTTGTGACGTCGTAATGTATGGCCGTCATATTATATCTCTGTGTATAAAGATAACTCTTGAAATGATTTAACTGTGCGCAAACACCCAAGTTATGTGTTAATTCGGTGTGTATGAACTCTTCCGTTTGCGATTGAATATAATAAAGATAAAATAAAAACAAATCACTGAACTCTACAGTCGAAAGGAGTCGTTCGCCTCTCGCCGATCTATTTCTTTCTTTTATTAACACGGACCCTTATTACCGAAGCAATTGGCCCGTTCGCTCATTCCGGAATAAAGAATCGACGACATCTTGCGCTTTATTAACTCGGAACCGCCCGGAGTTCGCCGGAATTATTACTGCGCTAAATACGAATCGCATCTACGTTGGGTGCCATATTGCGGACTCCCGTAAAGATATAAACTCGCTGAATATTTAAACGGGCGCCTTTGTCTAGCGGGTGTTTATTCAAAACTTACAACGGTCGGGCGAACGAAGTTGGGGAGTTCGGATTGTCCCCTGAATAAAATTCCGCGTAGTGTCACTGTCGGGGAGGTCGTATAGGAAACAGCAAGGACGACGACAAAGGAAATCGTCGCACATTTCGCCACAACCGGCATTGGAGATAACAGTTTCTGGTATGAAGCAAATGAACGCGGTGATATTACACAAAGTGGAGTCGCGATTTTTGCGAGAAACATAAAAATATACCCGCCTAATAGAAAAGGAGATATAGACGCCGGATTGTTTAAATTTAAGCGTCTCGCTCCACAGTCTCGGTGCTAGTTCTGACGATATATGTTAAGTAGGACGTCTAGAGAGAGGACTGCGGGATATCGGTGTATAAGGAAGAGAATATAAATTGCTTATAAGTCAAGGACTCTCGCGCGATGCAGTAGGGGCGTATCGAGTTGAAACGTGTAATTATTATTTCGAATAATAATCTAGAAGTCCTTACTTGCGCGATGGTTTTTTTTTGCGACGATCTAAAACATCGAAGGCGCTATTTAAACAGTCAGCTGTACGTGAATGACGGATAGTTGACGAGAACAAGGCTCTCCGTTGTAACGCCAGTCAGAAGTGACAGCGATTGAAAATGCAGAATACGTTGTGGCGGAACAATTATGATCTGACTCGAATGCCTCGGTTTCGATACGGTGGGCGTCACAGCGATCCGTCAAGTTTCGTGACGCCCTAATGTTACGGTACACACTTCGATTAACGACCCCGCTATTGTTGGTGTAGTTCTGCCGCTAGGTAGATTTCTCCTCGAAGCAGAAGCAGCATCCTCCCGTTTGCTGAACCTCGGAATGTTGTAGAATTACTTTTTTTGTGTGAATAGGTGGCAATCGAGCAGGTGGTTCACCTGATGTTAAGTGAATTTTGAGATTTGCAACACCCGTAGGGTTGCAGATGCGTTGCCACCTTTTAATAGACTGTGCCCCATTTACCTCACAAGCCAAACGAAACTTAGAAGTATAACAATTCCCTTCACACCGGTCTTCTGTGAGGTCGTACCTAGACGGACCCGGCCATTCGTGCAATATCTTACTTCTTCTGCAGAATTGGGGGCAAATGTATACATGCTCGAATAAAATGGTCTTCTACTGACCCTTAATGGCGGCCCATGGTAGTCAAGAGATTATCGTAATACAAGAAGGGTCAGGAACCCGATGCTAAATAAACACTGGTTACACAAAAAAGTCGAGGCTTTCGAAGATGATAGATTGGAAACGCTCCAGGGCACTGCGTGGGCGTAATTGAAGGTGCATTCAAAACTACCTAATGACCCAAACCAAAATAATACCAGCAAAAATTAATAGTATCTATTTTGATGATAAAATGATTTGGATCAATTTCCATTTGCGGGACGTGCTTCGAACGATGGCTATTTGATTGAAGCACAGTATTTTCCTAGAGTGGAAATTTCAGCTGTCACTTATGAAGTCACAGAGCAATACATATGGACCTGTTGTTGAGTGACGGCATCTCGTATCATTGCCACTTCGAGGCTTTGGTTTCGGATCAGTAAATCAAACGGCTGATTAGATCGCGCGCGATGGTTATCCAAGAAAGTTGGTTTCAATAAAATCCATTCATTGATTTTGTCCGTCTTTGTACATAACTTATTTTGCTTTCAATGTTGGAGTATGCGTTGGTTTTTCTTGTAAATTATTTTTCGTTTCAGTTTTAAGAGTGGTGGAAAACTTATGATAAACATAACGATCGTTTGATGTACATAAGATCGTGGATATGATATTGTACTTGAGCCAAAAAAATCAATGTCTATTGTGGTACCTATATGGATAGTAATTAATGTTTACCGTATGAATTCAAATCTGTTTACGCCCCATTTGCCCATCACTGTCGAGGTCAACGTATCGAAACCAAAAAAGGCATGTATAAGGTGTAAACTCGAAACCGCAGACGTCGGCGCAGCACGATAATAAAACCCTACCGCCTAATATAACAAATCCGACAAACACACAACGATAAATCATTATCGGCGGCATGCCAATTTGTAATTTAAAACTATGCTGATTAAAGAACACAGTTGCGTGTCGTGTGGCCACGCAATCTTGTTGGTGTTTGTACTACGAAACAATAATAGCGGCCGGCTATACATGTCGAAGCCAAATTGGTAAACGCTATTATGGATAACTACATACATTAACAAATGATTAGCAGAACGCCCCGAGTTCGCTTGTCCTAAATATTTGTAAGATAACATTCATTGTTGTTTCTTGGAACAAGTTTATCGAAATCAGATTTAAAGGCTACGTTAAATTGAATTAGATTTAAACGTTAAGGATTCACTCAACTTCCCTTTTGACCCCATTAAG